GGGAGGGACGCGGGTGGCCGGTCAGGCACAGGTGGCCTCCTGGCTCTCGACGGGGATCTCGCTGCCGCAGCCGCCCTCACCGTACTGCGGGTAGGGGGGGATCTGGGGCGCCTCGATGATCAGCAGCCCCTCCGGCGACAAGGAGGCGAAGACCGTGATGGGGTCCACCTCGTAGGGCAGCCTGCAGGAAGGAAGGAAAGACAAGATGGTTTAGGAGCTGGGGGGCCGGGGCGGCTGCCAGCTCGCAACATGCCAAATCCCTGGTGGACATCGACCTTTGGGAAGCCCACGCAGGACCCCCAGCACTTGGGGAACCACCAATGCCGAGCCAGCAGCCCTGGCGTGGGGCTCGGCAAAGCCTACGTTATTACTGTAGCGCCCGGGAATGTGCTGGAGATATTTAAAGCGGCCTCCTGGCCGGCCTGGCCCCCGTGGGCGCCCTGTTTAATCTCCCTGGCAGATGTGTTTGACGGCATGTCACCCGCCGCTTGTGCCGCCCAGGCTTCTGCAAAGCAGGAGTAAATCATCGCTGTGCCGCAGCCCGCGTCAGCCGCAAGCCTTGCCCGTAAAAGGAGCCGCCACGGCTGCCCAGCGCCGAGCAGGAGGGAGCGCGGTGCTCACCCCGGCTTTCCCGTGGGAGTTTGGGATGCACAGGGCTCCTCTGGGGTGGAAAAGCAAAGCTGAGCTGCTGTGAGCTGAGAAATCCCTTCCCATGCCCTGGGCTTTGCAGCTTCTCCCTGTTAACCCCGCGAGCCCTGCGGCCGGGGGTCTGCCCCCCACATGGGCGAAGCACTGCAGTTGGGGCTCGCCTGCCTCCAGACTCGCCTTTCCTCCCTGCCCTTTGCCGTTGCTGTTGCCGAAGTGAGCCATCGCGGTGAGTCAACCCAATAGCAATCTAACTGACATCATTCAGACAGAGATATATATACACATTCACACACAGGGGTGTATTTTGGGGCTGACAATGGTGTCAGCCCCCATCGTGCCCTGCTGATCCCCGGGGGATGTGCTGGCACTGTGAGCGTGGCTCTTTGCACTCGTCCTGCTCCCTGTGCCCCAGACGGCTCCAAATGCAGCCCAGGGCCTGGAGGAGACTGACAAAGCACCCAGAAAAAGACCTCCTCCTCTTTTACCTCCCTCGGGAAATCACTGTGTGGCCTGAACCAGCCAGGCACGTGCCTCAAAAGGGCAGATTTTGGGATGAAAACAGGAGTCCCTGCATGCGTGAGCTGGGGTGTGGGGACAGGCAAAGCTCAAGCCTTCACCGCCGATGGCATCCCCACGCTGCCTGCGACCTGCCGGTGCCGCAGGGACGGGGTCCCACAGCAGGCTAGCGACATTTGGGTGTTGGTTGAGGGGACGTGGCACCCCCCCTAGCCCCAACCCCTTCAGCGGGGGGACGCCCCAAGGCCAGCTGGTACCTACTGGATTTTCTTGGTGAAGTTCTTGGAGACGATCCCTCCTTCCACCTGCTGCTCCTCGTGTTTGCCTGCAGGGAAGGGCAACACCCAGTCACCACCTCACCGGGAGATTATTTTTTCCCCAACAAACAACAACAAAAGCCAACAGGAAAGTTTTCAGAGGATTTGTTTCCCTCCCCCCGTGCAAACCCTTCCCTCTGGGGAGGGCTCAAGGATCCTCTCCTATGTGGGGAAGGAGATGCCGGACACAGCACACCCATATTTCCAGTAAGAGCCTGGGGTCTCACAGGCTGCCAAGAGCTGGGGCTTAAGACACCCCCTGCAGACATAATAAAACCTTTGGAGGTGGCAGTGTCACCCCTTGTCCCGCTCCCCAGGCTGGGCTCCCCTCCACCGCGCTGTCAGGCTGGGGGTCCCTGTGCCTGGAGCACCTCTGAAGTTAAAACCACTCCAGTGGTGGCCCAGGCCCCCCGACCTGCGGTTTTCCCCCTGCGATGCCATGAGCCCCAAATAAATACCCAGGGCCATGCTGCGTGGCAGCCCCCAGCCTCTCCCTGGGGACCCCGGCCCGGGGCACTCGGGGGCAATGCGGGGTGTCGGTGCTGGGCTGAAGGGATGCTCAGGGCTGGGTGCCCGTGGGCACCCCCAATGTGTTGCACCCCGCACCCGCTGTCCCCACCATTAACTGAATTTTAAGGGACGTGCTTCTGGCCGGTTCATCCCCAGGCCGGGGCCTTTCGGGGCTGGGTTGGGGTGGCGGCCGCAGGGGGGGGGGCCCCCCAGGCGGGGGCCTTTCGGGGCGGGGTTGGGGTGGCGGCCGCAGGGTGGCTGCCCCCCGCTTCCCAGCACCGGAGCTGCCTCTCTCTCGGCCCCTTTAAAGGGAATGTCCCTCTGCACCGGCCTCACCCTGGCTATAATTAACCCAGCCAAGCTGGGGCCCCTCTTGGCAGCTTGCTGCAGGGTGCTGCCACCCGTAGCGGTGCCTCCCCGGCCGGCCAGGGCAGAAAGCGGGGAGATTTACCCCAAAGGAGGCTTGTCCTTTTCATTTTTGCAGCAAACCACCACAGCTTGTGGGCTGGGTCCCCCCCGTGGCACCCCCGAACCACCTGGGGGGCTGCCCCAAAGCCCTGCCGCAGCCCTGGCCCTGCTCCCAAGCACGGGGCTGTTCCCGCTGGCTTAAAATAAAGGTGATTTTTGCATTTTATGGCAATTTATTGAGCCGGCATAGGCAGGGCAGGACCGGCTGCTTTTCATGCCCCATCCTCCTCCTCCCTGGTGCCTTCGCTCTCACCTGACACCTCGACGTAGCCATCCTTGGTTTTGACCGTCAGTTCCTCGGGTTTGAAGCTGTGCACATTGACGCACACCTTCCAGGGCTCGCGGGGAAAGGGCGCGGGGCTG